CCCCCCCCCCCCCCCCTTGCCTCTACTGCTGTTATTTTGTTTTCCCATTCACAGGCGAAAGGCGACGCCGGCTCTTCGTCTGATAGTAGCCACGAAAGACAGCCGATCATTCGAATCGGCCAATCTTCTGGAAGATGGTGAAGGACCCGCCTCACACCCCCCAGCGATCCGTTATTTTCCTGTCATTGGAGAAGCTTTTCCCTCACCAAATCGGAACCTAATGGCGCCGACCGGGAGAACCTGTTGAGAGGTGATTTAGTAGTTGTCTCAGGAAAAGTAACAAGCAAAGAAGGCCCGCCGTCAAGGACCCGCCGCGATTTCGGTAGGATCGAGGGTGTGGAGGTTTCTCGAGGATGTCGACGTCATCAGTTGCTGGCGAACGGGGCGGACGTAAACGGGATGACGAGCATCCAATCCGCGCCCTGGCAAGGGGTAAACACCGGCGCTACTCCTTCCTGTACACACACGCGCCCCGGTTACCCCTCTCCCCCCAACCCCCCTCTCCTCCACAATCGACAACGATGCTAACATGAGCAGTAGATACCGTCGAAGCCAAGCCGAGACACACCCCGCCGGCAATCTCGCCGCTTTTTCTGTGCCGTTGTTGACGAGCGCCCCCCCCCCTTCCCCGCTACAGCCGGAGCCCCCCTCCCGGGAGGCATCCCTTGTCTCTGCGCCTCGGAATCGGCCCCACAAGTCATCCCGGGGGAACTCAATGTGCGCATACGGCGTGACGCTCGATGATACTTCCATCACCCGAACGCGTCATGGCGCAGTGTCGTCTAACACCCGTACCGCTGTTTGCGAGCGCACGATCAGTGGGTTGCACACATCGGTGCTCCGCCGCCGCGGCGCAGTTCTTCTAAAAGCCCTCCTTCTCGTACGCCTGTCTCGCGGTTAGACTTCAGTCTATCCTTGACACGCTTGACACCCCACGTATCTCGCTGCGTATGTGTGCACAACGGCGCTTTCATCCACGCTCTACAGCGCTAGTGGTTGCTGCGTAGTCGGTGCTATCGGCGATTTCGGTTCGCCTGTTCCCTGGCTCTAGCAAGCTTGAGTCGCAGCAGCTCTTCCTCCTCGCCGGCTGGTGGTTTTCCCCCGTGGGTTGCGCCGCTTGTCCCCCTTCGGAGAACGGAATTTCTATTGTTTTTGTTCGGGTAACACGAAATGGCGGCAGCGCAGGCGAGAGGTGGGAGAGGGCTAGTTCCTTCTTGCGGCAAGCATTTGGTGGTGACCAGAGTCTCGAGACGAAGAAGCGTCGTGTATTGGCGACCATCGTCACGAAGGTCGATGGTGCAAGAAAAAACGAAAAAACGGGCAGCATATCCAAGTTGCAAAGCTTACAGCTTGCACGCTTACGGCTGCATTGAAGTGTTCCTTCCCCGAGTCTTCTCAGGGTTTTTTCGTTTTTATTAAGTGAACATGTTCAAAAAAGAATGCAATCGGGGAAGTTGGGTTAGGGTTAGGGAATAGGGTCTGCGTACCCCGTCCCTGTTCTACTTACTCAAAAACTTCACATCTCGCGGAGCCAGTCCATTATCGATCGGGGGGGGCGGGGGGGGGGGGG